CAAAAATTACCTATCATGATTTGTCAGAAATTTGTTGTTGATTTGAATAATTTTATTCACTTGACAAAAAATGATTTATCTTACATTTGATATGTTAATCTTACATTCTGAGAAGCTTGCTGAATTTCTAATGTCTAATTTAACCATTGTTACATATTTGAACTTGATAGTAGACAGTTGAATAAGTACTTTGCTTTTCTTTCACTTCTTTCTAGAGTTTGAATAAATTCCTGTCAAGAAGGCCTGTTAAGGTACATGGTTCTAATGATCAGATTCCAAAATAGCTGATTTGGAAAATGAAGAACAAAGTCTTCCACCCTTGTCCCATAGTGTAATTTCAGCTAGTGTATATTCTTGCAGAATGAGCAAATGATTGTCATCCTAAAATGCCTCAAAGGACATGAATGTCACCTTAATAAAGAAATTAAAAGATACATCTTTTCATGAGAAACCATGTAAATTCGTGACCTGTCTCAGAAAATAGTTCTCTAATTGGTTTTGTGTGGTAGTGCAGTGGAATCATTTTCCTTAGATGTCACCACAGCGAAGTTCCTCTGTACATCATTGTCAACAGCTAGGGAAATCTCCCTAATAAGAAGGAGACTGTGTAAAAGTCATCATGTTTGCAAAACAAAATGTTGGCTCATGTTCCATTCACACAACTAATACTTTCAAGTTGAAATTTTTAAATGCAGAAATTGAAAGCTTATAATTATTGAAAAATTCTTTAAGATTAAAATTTGTCTTTTATTGGTTGACTGGGAGGTTTTATCCACAACAAATAGTTGTCCTGAATTTCCATGGCTAAATCCATATATATCAAATAACATAAAATCTCAAATTAATTTGTAATGATTTAGATGTCAAACTTCTTGTATGTAAGACGTCAGAATCACTAGCTAGATTTTAAAAAAATATATTCATCAATATACATTGAACCATTTATGGAGAAGACATGGAAGGGAAAAGACTATTGAGTTATTAAACAAGCATGCACAGATCATACAGGAATGCTAGAATTCATAACTTAAAGGGCCTTTTATTTTAGCTCCCTAAAAATAAAGATAATAAAATAATTGAAAAAAGACATTGAAATTTTGAAATTTACTGTTCAAAAGCATAATTTTATATTGTATTTTTGCAGATATGCGCCCCATTTTGACATCCATAATTTAGACAAATGCAAACTCTGAAATTTTTTAAATCAATATTGCATGCTAACTGCTGACAGTATTCGCTTCTCTTCTGAAAAGATGGCAAAAGACATTGTTTCTACATTGTGATCTTTGTGAACTAGGCCACGTGCCTGTTCAGTCGTGGCAGTCATTTACATAAAGTCACACTGGAGCAAAAGTTAATTTAATTCCAAGAATACAGAGCCTATCACATAACTTTTCAGAAGATTTCCTTTGTTAGAAAATTTAAATTCCTTTTATGAATGTATATGTGTTTTCCTAACTGTCTGATTAAGATCACAAAGAAGCTCTGGTTTTGCATCTCACATTAGCAGATGGTGGACAGATGGTTTAAATTAATATTAATTTTGGAAAACTTAGCTTAAATTGTTTATACTGAAGATTAAAAGTTGGAAAGCCAGCTAACATCTCCAGGGTTATTAGTACTTCCAAACCCACTTGAAAAGTAAAATCTGGAAAATCAAAACCTTTACTGCTAAAGCAATCCACATCTCAATCAAAAAGATAGAAGGTAAAATACATTGTTTTAATGTTGAAGAAAATTCAAATAAAAACAAAAAAGAGAAATAGAAATCCTAGAGTGGAGTTTGAGAAGGATGAAACTGAGAATTTTATCTGCAAGTAGCTTAAAAGTAATCAATAATTAAAAAAAGTAATCAATAATGATTTTTTAAAACCTAAAAGTGCCAGCCAAATAGCTCAGCAGAAGAAAGCGCCTGTTTAGACAGATGCAGCGGCCAGAGTTCAATACCCCCCAACCTACTCCCACATGACAGCATGCAGTTCCGGCCCCACCCCCAGGGCGCTCTGAGATGACAGTTGAGACTGGCATGTAATCCCAGCGCTTGGGAAGCTGAACACAGGTGACTGAACACAGGCAGATCACTACGAGTCCGATCTATGTAGTGAGACCCTGTAGACCTTGTAGACTCTGTACTGAACAAATAAAAAAAAAAAACTAGAAAAACAATTGCTTTTAAGAAATTTATTAATATCTGATAAACCTAAAACAGTTTTTCCCACATTCAACATGTGTTTATTTTCTTTGAAATGAACTTCACATTTCCTTTGTATGGAAGGAAGGGAGAGAAGAAAGGGAAGTAAAGGCAATGTATGTATTTCTAGTTAATTATATAGAGAAAACACAAATTAATATACATCAAGTTTCCACAAAAATAGTCCAAAACCAGGTAACAGGTGCTGTCAAGTCTGAATAATTGTTTTCCCAATTAGATTTAGTTGAATGTAGAAAATTGGTAGAAAAAATTTTGAAGTATTCTATAAAGATCATATGTTTTGTACTTAAATAGATTTAGCTTTCTGAGATTTAGGGACTCATTTAAAAAAAAACCTAGAAACATTTAGCAAAATCCATTCAGTTAATGAAAGGAGCAAAGTATGACTCACCACCTGTAAAAATACACAGCTTTCCTAAGAGTATACTTTCTGAAAAATAATAGTATTGACCCCCCCAACTTTTTATCAGGCAGATGCTGCCAATTTTATTTAATTAAACTGTGATGGTAAGTCAGGTATCATAAAATATATCCAAATCCAATTGAGTCCATTTTGTTCTCCTTAAGATAGATAGATAGATAGATAGATGATAGGTAGATAGATAGATAGATAGATAGATAGATAGATAGATAGATAGATAGAATATACAAGTTATTTTATGGAAGACATAGTGTCAGTTGAGAAAGAGTGCCTTTTCAGGCTTACGGTCATTCCTAAATGGGCTCAAATAATTAGATGCACGAAGGAAAAATTCAGTGAAGAAAGTTCAAGGCACATGATTCATTTCTCAAAAATAAAGGACAATATATGTACATTAAAACTTTAACCATATTTTCAAAGTCTAAAACAAAAACACATTTCTCCTATTTCTAGAAGTTGATTGAAAGTTATTTAAAAACTTTATCCTAAATAAATTAAGAGAAATTGACTTTTTTGTGATGCCATTTGAGTTATCATATAAAACAAATGAAATGTACCCAACAAAAGAGAAAGAAGGGCCGGGGAGATGGCTCAGTGGAATAAGCACTTCCCTGGCAAGCGCAAGGGCCTGAGTTCAATCCCTGGTTCTCCCCCCCCCCCCCCAAAAAAAAAAGAAAAAAAGAAATAGAAGGATCATCTGAGCTTCCTATCTGTTTTCAAAAAGGAAAAATTTATTAAATGCTATTCTTGGGTACTACCTGCATAATATTTCTAATTACAAGGAATGAAAACCACATCCCAGCAAGAAGATACTGCACTGTGTGGAGAAAAGCATAAGGGAGAAGCTTCTTTTCGTGGCTTTGTCTTGATTGTTTTCTATCCACTTTCCTCACCTTTCTGAGCTGGTAAATGCTTGGGTTAAACTCAGAACTCTCCAAATTCCTTGCCAGTTTTGAGAGATATAGTATTATCGTGTTCCTCAGTGATGCCTCATGGTAATACTCAGATGAGGATCTTGTTAATAATAGAGACTTGTAAGCTTTACCTTAAAACATTATGAATCAGAATCCTGGAGGAATCTATTTTTCAATAAATGTCCCAAGTTGAATAAGATAAGTTGTGGCAATGGTGGTAGATAGAAAAGGTAATAGTCATTATCTCAAGGGATGCTTTCTGACAGTGTGAAGTAGGCTAAATCCAACTCCATATCTGCACACCCTCTGTTTTGTCTGACCTGTGCTGTGTCGCTGTTCATCATGACCCAAAGATTCCTTCATCTTCCTGTCTCAAGAGATAGCTCAGGGGTCTAAAGCACCTGCTTAGGCAAAGTGCAGGGACTGCGGTCAGATCCCTGGCACCACATGCTACGTCAGCCCCGTCCCCAGGGTGGGCTGAGCAGGCCATGGAAAAAAAAAGGAAAAAGAAATGGGTCCAATCAAATGTGTTTCAGTTACTGCTCAATAAATTCATGAACGCGTGGCAGAACTGATGAGTTCTAGACTAAAATCCTGTGCAACCTTGAATTCAGTGTGTGACCTTGTACCTGTTCCCAAAACTCCTTGAACCACTGTTTTTTTATCCATAAAAATGAAATGCTGGTATTTGTGATTTATTTTTATAGCTTTGAATTATATGCTTACATGTGAGAGATTTGTTTATTTGTGAATTGGTTTGCCATTTGCCTAAGTTAAAATTATACTTCACCAAAGCTAAGATGACACCAAATGCATAAAAGCTTTTTATCAAGCATAAAGAGCATTGGGGTAATATCACACCAATTTATGAAAAATTGTTTTCCGGGAGAAAATGAGAAACTTTCATACAAAAGCATCATGAGAATATTTTAAAGATATTTATTTATTTATTTTTAGCACCAGGAGTCGAATTCAAGACCTTGTACTTTCCAGGAAGGCATTTATGCCTCTGAGCTATATCCCTGGCTCAATGATATTTAAAGTGCTTAAGTAATTTAGTTACAATTAAAATTGTGATTTAGAACTTTTTATATTGAATTTTAAGCTTGTAGAGCTTTTTACTTCATCTTCTATTTTCAGTTGAAACATAGTGGACATTTGAATGAAGTAGATTATCATTAAACTTTCTGCCTTAATGGAGTCTTTCAAATTTTGATTAAAGTATTTTCAGTTGGTCTCAGTGGTGCATACTTGCAAGGCTGAGGCAAGAGGATGAGAGTTCATACTCAGCCTGGATCTCACAGGAAGACCGTGTCTCTTTACCATTTTGTACTCTTGAAAAAATAGAAATAAATGTATAATTATAAATTAATTGATTAATTAAAATGCTAACTTAAGGTATGTATAATTTTGTTCTGCTGCCAAGCAAACTTATAGTCTTTCTTTTTTTTAGGCAAGTACATAACATTTATTCTAGATCCATTCCAGTACCAGTTACTGCATAAATATCACAAAAAATTAAGCTTTCAAAAGCTTTCTCAAAAAATAGCAGTGCAAGTATTCTCCATCAAGATTTTGGAAAACTATGAGGACCTGAATGATGAACTTCATGGTGTCTATCAATTTATACAAGGCAAATCATTGGACCTAGTGCTGGAAAACATGTTGCAACATGTAAACCAAATGTTTGAGTCCCAGCTATTGAAAACCACAAGTTGGAACACAACACAAATGTTAACATTTTGCTGCTCGATAGTATTTGAAATCACATTTACAACAATATATGGAAAAGTGCCTACTGATGACAGAAAAAACTTTATCAATGAGCTAAGAGATAATATGTTAAAATTTGATGACAAATTCCCATATTTGTTGTCTGACATACCCATTGAGCTTCTACAAAATGTCAGATCTCTACGGGAGAAGCTTATAAAATGCATGATGCTAGATGAATTAGCTAAGGTATCAGGAAGCTCGGAAATTGTTCAGAAAAGGCAAGATATTCTGGAGAAATATTATGGACTCAAGGACCTTAATATAGGAGGTAAGAAACTTCTGAATTATTACTTGCCTAAAATGAAATAATTTACAATAGACCTTTGAAATAAAAAGACAAAATGGCAACCTTGAAATTTTTTATGTTCTTTCTAATTGGCTAATGATAAAATGTTTTACTCTGAAAAAATCCTCTCTGATAATTGATTTTTTTTTTTTTTTTGCTGAGGTGGTAAAACAAGATACTTAATGATGATAATGAGAAAGAGTATAACTAAGCAGCATTACTCCTCTTATCTCATCCCCCACTTTCCTGCCCCCCATACACATTACATTTTAAACTATTCTCATTAAGCAGAAAATTAGACTTCAGAAGCCTATTGGTTCTCATTAGCATGCACTGATCCTTGGCTGGGTCTGTGTCCTAACATCTTTTAATTAGCACACTGCAAATCTAATCAGTGTAATAAATGCTATTAATCTTCCTTTTCACTTATTTTCTCCCAGCACATCATTTTGCCCTTCTCTGGGCCTCTATCGCAAACAGTATTCCAGTTATGTTCTGGGCAATGTATTATGTTCTCCGGCACCCAGAAGCTATGGAAGCACTGCATGACGAAATTGACCATTTGCTGCAGTCAACAGGTCAAAAGAAAGGGTCTGGATTTTTCATCCACCTCACCAGAGAACAATTGGACAGCCTGGTCTGCCTAGGTAATTTATTTTTATCTGTTGTGAAGAAAAGAAGGTACCTCTCTGCAAACTCATTTTATCACTCGTAGCTGTTTACCAAGAGGTGGAGGACACAGCTGCCTAATTGACATAATAACACCCATTTACATCAATTATAAATTATGTAGTTTATAGCTGTAGATACTCTCGTTGCATGTAAACATTAAGTCCTAGGTAATTAACTATGCAAGGTATGCAAAAGGCTAAACCAAAGCTTTGCAGTTATTTGAAAAAAAATAGTTGATGCCTATTAAGTCATTTGATTCTGAGCATCTGTTGGCGTGCTACTGCTTTCCAAACATTGCTGCACTATCTTGACAAGCAAAGGATTTGAGCAGTGAAAAGCAAAGGATTTCAGAGAGGCAACTTGTATGCAAAATGTATTCACTTTTCCTTAAAATGCTATCTATATTTATAGGCAGAGATCAGTATGTTTTGTATAGCTTGGAGTGTATGGTTCTCAGAAATATAGGAAAAATGCTTCCCACTGGAAATACATGCTTTGAATGCACTCAAGAAGTAAAGGAAGAAAGAAGGGAGGAAGGGAGAGAAAAATACCAACTGCAAACTGCTCCATGTAGAAAATTTATAGTTTGTAAAATACTCACTGACTCATAAGATACCAATATTCAGTATTTCAAATACATTTGAGGTGAAAAGAACCAACATTTTAAGAGAATTTCTACAAGGGCTTGTGTATCTGCAGCATGAGCTCCTGATTGCAGCAGACTGCATTCACATTTCCTGGTTTTGAGTTGGCTTTTCATTATGTACCATTAAATTAAATACTACATCAATGAGTTTTTCTCTACACTCTCTGTATTTACATTTCATCATAATGTACTTTTTAGGATACAGTAGTCCTAGTTCCTTTGGACAAATGCAGAGAGAAAGGCTCATATATCTCTTTTAGCTCCTGGCTTGACAGTTTAGGCTAGCATTTTACCCGTGTTGTGCTCAATTTATTATATTTTAAATACATTCTAGGTTTTTTTTTATTATAACATCTGAGATCAAGGGCCTTGCTGGACTTAGTCATGGTTGACCACTAGTTGGAACAGAGAAGATGCGATCCAGGGTTGCAGAGGTTGTTCTCACTGATCAGGCTAAGACAAATGACAAACAATAGCAGAAAGTGTGCCCTGTACTGGCCAAGGTTAGGAAAAAAATGTCACCTTGTCGTTTGGTGTCATATGTGTTATCAAAGAAATCTTATATTTACTTTGAAAAGAAAATAACCTTAAGAGTATTATAACACACATATTAATATATGTTTATTTGCAGATTTTTCACAGAGTGAATACACAAAATTTGTCTCAAAATTTGGGTAGTTGTCTCTACTTTGATATATTTTCTGGATAGTTTCTATGAAGACGTAAATGGCATTCTCCATATAGCTACATCATTTCCATTGCATTTTATGAGTCAGATGGTGAATACTGAAAAGTAATGCAAATAAACTTCAAGGAATATGTGTTTGTATTTCTCATATGATTATTACTCAAATTTCTTTGAAATTCATTAACTCCCTTTACTCACAACTCTTTTTTTCATTGAAAGAAAAGAATCATTTTTAAAGTGTGGTATTGAAATAGAAATTCTTGAATGTACTTGAACAGAAGAAATAGAAAGTTCTAGGGCAATAATCCGAGTTCATTGAAATCCATAAGCTGAACCTTTCATCATTGGCACTTTCTTAATTTACTCATCAACCCATGAATAACAACAATAAAAGTCCCAAGTGAGTTGAGATCCACCTGCTAAGGCAATGCCTTAGCTGCCAACAGGACTCACCATGACCTTGGTCACGAGTAGAAGCCAGCATTGTTTTTATGAGAATTTAAAATGATAGAGCTGATTATCTTCAGGAAGACAGTCTATATGTCTTTTTCTTTCATGAGATAGATTCAATCAAATTAGAAAAAAAAATTTAGTCAGTTACATCATGGGTAACTTCTGCAATTAGTTGTAGCTCAATTATAGTCTTTCCCTAATCAAAAGAGCATAAATTGGAAGCACAAAAGCCAGATGAAACAAATAAATATTTATATGCATCACATGGTGTGTGTGCATGTAATCTTTTGGTCTCCTTAAGAAAAGAGTCTGTGTATGCTAAGTAAAAGTTTTGTTTAAAGAGTATCTTGAATTTGTTATCATAAGAAAAAGTATTACATAATGAAATGAATGCTACATTTTTTAACCAACAGAAAGTATTTTGACATTAGTACAATAAAAGAGCTCCTCTTTTCACAGAGATTTTGCATGGCAATATACTTTATGAAGCACTGTTAAGAAGAGAATATAGAATGCTATAGGCTGTTTAAGTAATTTTAAAAATCATTTAAATAATTTAATAAATCAACAGAGGTTAGTTTCTGCTTTTCTCCAATGGTTTTAAGATTTTTTAAAAATGATTCCACATTTTTCTCTTAAAGAAACTATGTTTTATTTTTATATGTATATATCTTTTTGAAGATTCTGCTTATTAGAACCTCACTTTAATCTTGCATCTATTAATATTTAGTAACTATCTCTATAAACTAAATTTAAAATAATGTACATGTAATGTGGTTCAGGTCACTGTTAGTTGTTATCAAAATCTCAATAGAAAAATTTGCTGATAAAATGGAAGTTTAAGAAACTCTGAGAAAAACAAGAATTTTTCAGAAAGAAAAAACTGAAATGGAAGTAGGATTCAGAACTTTAGGTTTAAAATTCAGTATAAGATAAAGAAAAGAAAAAAAGTGACCAAGAGAGAAGAAAAATATTAATAAAAGGATAGTGAATCTCAAAATTAAAATTTTACAAATTGATAGTAAATAATCTCCATGAATATTACATATTATAGCTGACTGAATATATAGAATAATATATATGTATATATATGTATATATATATGTATATATATACATATATATATATGTCTGCAGTGATACAGAGTATGGTCTCAATTATTACTACAGACTGTCATCATCAAAGTATTTAACTTCTATAATACCCTGTGAAGCTTATATTGTTCTCTTCTTTTTCAATTATCTATGATCCAAGGAGGAATCATATTTAAGTCTACCATCTCCTATAGGAATGCTATTTCTTTGTGTCACCCCCCCAAAAAATAAAAACATTTCTAATAAGAACATAAGCCAGGGGCCAGCGGGATAGCTCAGCGGAATAAAGTGCCTGCTTAGCAAGCTTAGGAAGGGCAGGGACTGCAGTTCAATCCCTAGCACCACATGCCGTGCCAGCCCAGCCAGCCCGAGCCTGGGCACAATGGCTCATGTCTATCATCCCAGCACTGGGAGGCTGAAAGCAGGAGGATCACCATGAGTTCAAGCTGCATAGTAAGACCCTGTAACAACCAAGTTCTTTTAAAAAAGGGATATAAGCCAAAGTAGATTACATCTCCTAAAATACTCAAGTAAATTATAAGTACCAAATATGTTCAATTAAACATCCTGAAATACAGGAGAGTTATAAAGTGTCCAATTGAGGGATATTGAAATACTAGAATGCCCCATGAAACTAGAGCTGGGAAAAAAATCTGTTAATGCAAAAGCCATAATTTGTAATTCTAGAATTATAAGCCTGCAGTGCTCACCAAAATTCTATTAAATATTTTTAGATTGTCACTCCTGTCACTTGGTAGTATGGGAGATCAATAGAGAAGAATCAGTTAGAAAATATAAAGGTCCACTAATAACAAACAGTAATCTTTATAGTCCATGTTAAAGATATTAACTATGTCAAGACAAATTTATATTCTTACATTATTTCATTTGATTTTCCCAAGATACTCTGAGCTGCTATTATTTTGTCATTATTTTTAAAGATGACAAAATTCTCAAGTGCTAAATGACTCACCAAGGGCATGGAAATGATAAAAAAATGAAGCAGGATTTTCACTTTGTTTTCTGGTCATAACCATGTCTTTCTCCTCATATATGTTTGGTTTGAGAGCATTTGGAGTAATTTTTCATTGTTTCATCAGAGAAGGGAAAGGAAACCTTTATATCAAAGCCAACAATGATGTGCAAATAGACTAGATCAGGAAATGTGGATCAGATCAGGATACAGTGAATTTGAATTTTTAAAATCAGGATAAGACTTCACTGATGGTAATATTGTATGTTTTATGGTAGTGCTAGGGATTTAACACAGGGCCTTGCACTGTCCCACTGAACCGTATTTCCCAGCCTGGTATCATTGATAATTAGTGTATTTTAGTCTCAGTTGTCATTATATACCTTTAATGATTGAGTAACAAGCCACAGAAAGATTAGCTAATCACCCAAAGTCTTACGATTGAACAGTATATAGTACAGTCAGATATTGATGCCAGGCCGGCCTGACCATAATTTCTGCTACTTCAGGCAAAATTGCTCTAGAAATGTAGCAGAGAAGTTGGCTACTACCTTTTGCAGGCAATATATCATGGATTCCCAATTGTAGTATCTTTTGAATATGAAGCTAGGACTAGAGCTCCCAATAGAAATAGATATGTTTCCAAATTTTTAAAAATGCTTAATTTTGTAATAGTTTTAGATTAATGGCAAATATATAAAAATAGTGGAGAAAATTTCCATGTACCCTACACAATTTCCTTTATCTCATATTTACTGGCACAGTTGTAATTATGCACATTATTTTGAAAAGCCCAATGTTATAAAATATTGGTATATTCAATAAGCTTACATAATGCAGGCAGTTCTGGAGCTTACCAAAATCCTCTCTGAGATGGAAGAAGCATTAATTGTACTTCATGTTAGGCACTTCTAACTGGAGGGGAGGGAAGAGCATTTTCCATGAAAGAGTACATCAGAGAGTTTATTTTTTCCCAAGCATGTAAGCATTTGATATTTTTATATGTAATATAAGGAAACATCAGTAAAATAAACTTAAAAATACAGATGTGGATATTCATCAAATTCTCATTTTAAAACAAAGCTGAAGTGGTTTGACAGGATAATGAGATACTCTGATAG